GTAGGGCTATAGGGCTATGGGGCTATGGGGCTATAGGGCTATAGGGCGATAGGGCTATAGGGCCATGGGGCCATGGGGCCATATGGCCATAGGGCAATAGGGCTATACGGCTATAGGGCTAGAAAGTTATAGGACTAGAAGGCTATAGGGCTATAGGGTTATAGGGCTGTAGTGCAATTTGGGCTATTGGGCTACAGGGCGATACTGCTATTGGGCTATAGGGCTATCGGCTATAGGGCTATAGGGCCATGGGGCTATAGGGCGCCCAGACACCCGGGCATCTGTGGACGGGCCAGCGAAATTGGATACTCACAGGGCACCCGGGCGGGCCGCCGAAATCGGCGACCCACAGGGCACCCGGGCACCCGGGCGGGCCGCGGAAACCGCTGACGAACCTGACCCAACCATATAAATCCGTTAGGACCCTTACAGAGGCAAGCTCTGATTTGGGAATAATCGTAATATTAAAGTACGATTGGATGCCTCCTGGGGCCTCTTAGAGGAGCCTCGCGGGGGCGTCTTGGGGGATTCTGAACGGCTCTGGGAGGCAGGTGGGTGGTCTGAAGAGAGCTCAGGGTGCCTCTTGGGAATTTCTGTTGGGCGGGGGGGGGGTCTTAGGCCGTCTTGGTGTATTATTTCATATTATACGATATTACATTGTATCATATTCCAGCATGAAATAACACATGTTGGTGTATTAAATTTTATTACACTATATCGTATTAGGTTTGCCAAATCGTATTGTTTTAATTTTGTTGCATATTATAATATTATATCATAGCATAACATATTATACTATATTATTTCACAATACACCATAATGTATGATGTTATATGCGAATATATCGTTCCATGTCATACTACATATATCAAAATAACACAACATCAAGTATTTATCACATGTTATATCAACCTCTCATATAATATATCATATTGCGTTGTTTTACAGTGATGTGTTCTTTTATCTGTCCTATATTTTCCCCGTTATATTACACTATAGTATACACGATGCATCATGTTATATCATACCATCGTACAACATATTGGGTCCCCTATACTATATACCTTATGACATTATATCGTGGTATTATATTATGTCAATTCATACTACAATGTACTATATGATGTCAAACCATATCGTGATATATTTTAGTATATTATGCCATATTATGTTATGTTATAGTATAGTAAAATACAATATAGTACGCTGCCCCTTCCACCACCCGCCTGTCGGCGTGTCCGTATGCCCCAACCAGCGTGGAAATAATTTCGGGGCTGGGTGCCAGCGTGTTCCGTGAGTGTGGGGCTGGATTTCCATGCGCTTGCGGGGCTCTTGTGCTTGGGTAGCCCCAAGGGGCCAACTTTCAACCCCAAAACCCCGCTAAGCAAACCCAAGAAGAGGGACGGACAGGGGACCGACCACGACGACGACGATGACGACGTCGACGACGACGACGACAGAGACGACGGCGACGAGCGAAAGCGAGAGAGAGAGAGAGAGAGAGAGAACGACAGCAGGGCCATGAAGGCCACGAAGAAGGCCACGAAAAGCGACAGCGGGGACACGAATGGAATGCGTATCGGGCCACGAAGAGCGCGAACGAGCGGGGGCCACGAAGGGCAAATGATGCGGGGCAACAAGAAACAACGACGGGGCCCCTGAGGGTTGCACCTGGACCACGTAGGACAGAGAGGGGGCCACAAAGGGCGACAGCGGGGCCACGAAGGGCATGCACATGGGGCCGCGACGGGCGCGAGCGAGCGGGGGCCACGAAGGGCATACGCATGTTGGGCCACGGAGGGCGAGGACGGGGCCACTGCGAGCAGCAGCGGGCCCACGAAGTGCTGCGAGGGGGCCACGAAGGGCAACAGCGGTGCCACGAAGGGCATACATACAGGGGGCCACGAGGGGCTGCGAAGGGGACCACGGAGAGCTACGGGGCCAGGCTGCAACGGGGCCACGAAGGGCAGCGAGGGGGCCACGAAGGGCGACAGCGGTGCCACGAAGGGCACACATACAGGGGGCCACGAGGGGCTGCAACGGGGCCACGAAGGGCAGCGAGGGGGCCACGAGGGGCTGCAACGGGGCCACGAAGGGCAGCGAGGGGGCCACGAGGGGCTGCAACGGGGCCACGAAGGGCAGCGAGATCCCGATTCTTAAATAATCTGCGAGGGAGTACTAAGCGTGAGCGCGACTCCTGGGTGCCTGAGTGTCGGGAGCGCGACGCTCGAGTAAATTGCGGGAAATTCCAACGCAAGGGTGCTATTCTTGAGTAAATTGCAAGCAAGTCTCCAGCGAGAGCACGACTCCAGAGTGCCGAGTGAACGATTGCTGAATACATTATACGGAAATCCCACGCGAGAGCGCGATTCCTGAGTAAAATGCAAGGAAGTCTCAGGCGGGAGCGGGGGTCCTGGCTAAATTGTGAGGAAGTCTCAGGCGGGAGCCGTTGTTGTTGAATCCTGGGGGCCAGGGGCACAGTTTGAGGAGGTAGACTTCCCCTGAACAAAAAACCGGGTGCGAGCGCCAGGAGGGGCACTTCAGTTGAAAAAACAAACGTACATCGGAGGGGGGATCAACCATATACTTCTTCAGTAATCAACCACAGCAGCAACAACAACAAAAACAATAATAAACTCGATCATCGATCAGGAATCTGAGAAGAGGAGCAGCACCAGCAGCGCCGCAGCAGCGCAGCAGCAGCAGCAGCAGGGAGAGATTGGATACTGAACTGTCAACGATGCAAGAACCTGGGCTGAAGCTAAGCACCTACACAATCTTGCGGCACGCGATGCTAATAGAAATAATGACATATATACAAATAGAGAGAGAGAGAGGGAAACAGACAGAGAGAGAGAGAGAGAGAAAGCGACAGAGGGGAAAGGAAACAAAGAGATACCATCTCCTCCCCCGCCCCCACCCAGCGACTGTGAAGACGACGCCGAGCAACACAGGATCAGTCACCACCGAAGCCTTGCAAGGGGTGTGCCGAAATCGGCCCTCCCATGGGACTACCACGAGGACGACGACGACCCTACTGGGCCAGGGCCTCGATCCTCGTGAGGGGTGAGCCAAAATCGAGCCTGAGGACGCATGCGGGCCCTGCCACTGGAACCTTCGGAAGAGCTCCGTACGGGGCCAGGGCCACGATCCTCGTGAGGGGCGTGCCGAAATTGGGCGTCGGTGGGCCCTCCGTGGAGCTCCCCATGGGGCCAGGGCCACGATCCTCGTGAGCGGTGTGCTTAAATTTGGCCTGGGGACGCATGAGGACCCTGCCACCTGACCTTCGAAAGAGCTCCGTAAAGGGTCAAGGCAAACGATCCTCGTGTGGGGTGTGCCGAAATAGGCCTCCCGTGGGCCTGAGGGCGCATGCGGGCCCTGCCAGTGGGACCTTCGGAAGAGCTCCGCGTGGGACCAAGGCTACGATCCTCGTGAAGGGTGCGCCGAAATTGGCCTTCCGCGGGCCCGGGGACGCATGCGGCCCCTGCTAGATAGAGAGAGAGAGAGTCAGAGAGAGAGAGAGGTCGAGAGAGCAAACAATAAAGAGAGATAAAGAGAGAGAGAGAGAGAGAGTCAGAGATCAGAGAGAGAGAGATAGAGAGAGAGAGAGAGCAAACAAGAAAGAGAGACCATTTCCTCACCCTCCCCCACACAGCGATTCTGAGATGACGCCGCGCAACACGGGATCACCATCGAATCGGGAGCTCGTAATCGAATCGATCTGCGCGTCGGATCGGGCTCCTTGGCGCGGAGTCGACATCGAAACAGGCCGACTGCGCCGGGACGATGCGCAGCAACGCCATGCACAATGCACGGGGCAGCGCCGGATCGCCGGGAAGCCAAGATCGCACCAGATCGAGCCGGGCGAGCCCCACTTCGAAGCGGAACCCTCGAATCGCCATTGGCCCTGCCCGTTAGGGAGCCGCGGGGTGCGCGGGGCGCGCGGGACGACGAAACCAACGACGACGACGACGTCGACGACGGCGAGGACGGCGAGGACGGCGACGAGGACGACGGCGACGGCGGCGACGACGACGACGAGGACGACGAGGACGACGACGACGACGGCGATAACGACGACGACGACGGCGACGACGGCGACGCCGACGGCGACGGCGACGACGACGGCGACGACGACGGCGACGACGACGGCGACGACGACGACGACGGCGACGACGAGGACGAGGAGGACGACGACGGCGGCGGCGACGACGACGAGCCCCTCGGGCGCTCCGCCGCCAGGCCCCGCCGCTCGCGCGAGCACGGCCGCGCGGTAGCGCGCCAGGGCGGCGCCCAGCTCGGGCTCGGCCGCCGCGGCGCCGCGGGCGGCCAGCCAGGCCGCCAGGCCGTGGTGGCCCGCCTTCGGAGGATCCCTGCCGATCCCAGACACGATCGCGTCGTAAAAGAAGGGCGGGAGGTTTCTGGCTATTTTCGGCCCCGGGGGGCCCTCGCTGGGCCTCGGGGCCGTCAAAAAAACTACTCAGGACGAGGAACTGGTCCCAGGGGATGGGTCGGGACTTCCAGGGACGCCGTCCTGAAAAATTCAGGACGTCGCATGTCTGGGTTGTGAGGTTCCAACCTACTGTAGCCTTGGTCACCAGGAAGAATGCCGAGCACCAAGAAAATGCCGAAGCTCGAGGGTTTTCACGTGTCGGGCCCTGGGAGACACTCGTCCGACACTGTTTCGACACCGTTTCGACATTTTTCCGGGTGCTCGAAATTATTTCTGGGATGTGGTCCGTAAGCACGATGGGGGCAACATGACCCTGCAGCCAACCCGTAGAAGAAGGACATGCGCGATAAGGATGGAAGGGCCTTGGGAGGCCATGTCGACACGCTGCGAGCGGGGCGCGGCCAGCGAAAGCGGCCAAGGATTGGCCGGAGGGGAAAGATGCAGGGGTGACCTCGGAAAGTCGCTCGTCCTTGCTGTGCGGGTTGGCTGTATCCGCACGGGCGTGGCCTGGGCCCCACTGGTCGACCCATCCCCCTGGACGGAGATCTATAGGCTGCTCCCTTCGAGTCTCGAGTGGCACGAGCATCCCCAACTGGGGCGGTGGGATGGGGCGGTGGGATGGCTCGGGATGGAGATGGAGGTGGGGGCATGTGGGGATCTGGATCCATGTAAACGATATCTGACCTTCAGCGCGAGGTCCGCCGGCGTCTGCCCGCGGGCGTCGGGCTCCGCCGCGCGCCGGTCGATGCCCAGCTCGTCCTGCAGCCAGGCGCACAGCGCCCGGTGCCCACCGTAGGCCGCCTTGTGGAGCGCGCCGTGGCCCTGATCGTTCGTGGCGCGCAGGTCGGCGGAGTGGTCGTGCAGCCAGGCGCACGTGGCCGTCATCCCCGCCAGCGCCGCGAAGTGGTGCGGCAGGCACTGCCAGGCGTTGCGGTGCTCCAGGGAGGCGCCGCGGCCCAGCAGCCAGGCGCAGACGGGGACGTGGCCGCCCCAGGCGGCGAGCTGCAGGGGCGTGGTGCGGTCCTTCGTCAGGGCGCCGACGCACTGCGAGTGCTCCCCGACGAGCCACTGGGCCACGCGCAGGTGGCCCTGCCGCGCGCACCAGTGGAGGGCGCAACGCCCGGACTTCTTGTCCGCGAAGCCCGGCTCCGCCCGGCCCTCGACGAGCAGCCTGCACGCGCCGAGGTGGCCACCGCTCGCGGCCCAGTGGAGCGCCGAGCCCCCGAAGCGGTCGCGCGCGGCCGCGGGGTCGAACGCCCGGGCCTCCAGCAGGGCCGCCAGGGAGCGCAGGTCCCCGTCCCGAGAGGCCTGCCCGGGGCGACGCCGACGGGCCGCCCCGCCGAGCCTGGCCGGGGCCCGCTCTGGGCCGAGCATCGCTGCACATACGTCCTCCTGGCTTCTGAGCAGGGGCCGGCCGTCCCGCCACTCCTGTGGGCCTACCGCGAAAGATTCACAGAAGCGAGGACTCTTCGAGTCACAGGAGCAACGCTCTCGCTACGCAAACCCGACGGTCTAAAACAAGACGGTCTCAAGCGTACGTAAATGCTGCGCGACCATGCCGTGCAAATCACGACAGGTTATGAGGGCATTCTTCGGTGGACCCCTGCAGGCAAGCCAGAACGCCTCCTCACTGTTCGAAGCTCGGCCCGGCCTGGGCCCCAGGATCGGCCCGGCCGGGCTCGGTGAGGGGGCCCGTCGGCGAGGTCCGCCGGGGCGAACTTGTCCAGGCCGCTGCCTCCCAGAACTTCCGACCGCTCTTCCCCCGGGGGCCCCGGGGGCAGTGTTTCGTCCCTGACCCGTTTTTGGTTGCCCCAGGCCGTGGAGGCCCGGACATTGGCGCCAGCACAAGCCCAGGGGGTTGCCCCCACAGGGGGAAGAGGATCCCAGGTTCCGGCGCTGGTGGCAATGGTTCGGCCACCCTGGAAGCCAGAATCTTACCGCCATCACCGAGGTCGGGATCTTGGTGTTGGTGTCAACCTCTGGGCCTGCCCCCAGGGCCCGACAATGGCCCCCGAGGGGCCGCAGTCGACCGAGCGCCCACGGGTTCAAAAGCCGTGCCGCCGGAGACCTGGTGCGGACGCCTCGCGGAGCCCGTCGCCGGCCGGCCGTCGGCTGTCTCTCGCAGCTCGTCGCGGCCGCGGTCGTGGCCGCGGCCGCGGCCGCGGTCGTCGTCGCCGCGGTCGTGGTCGCGGTCGTGGCCGTCGCGGTCGCGGTCGCGGTCGCGGGCGCGGTCGTCGCGGTCGTGACCGTGGTCGTGGTCGCGGTCGTCGTCGTCGCGGTCGCGGTCGCGGCCGCGGTCGCGGTCGCCGCCGTGGCCGCCCGGGCCTGCATCCCCGGCTCCAGGGCCGCGCGCGCGGCCGCGGGCTGCGCCGGCCGCTCTGCCGCAGCGGCCCTCGCCGCCCGCGCGCCGGCGGCCGCGGCGCCCGTGAGGGCGCGCCCCGCCGCGGGGGCGCCCCGCGCGGGCGCGGGCCGCTCGAGGAGCCTGCCGCGGAGGTAGGCGGCGAGGGCTGGCAGGGTGGCGTGCACGTAGAGGTCCTCCAGGGGCACCTCCAGGCCCAGGCACGATCTCGTGATCGTGGGAAAGAGAAGAAGCAGGGCGACGGCGAGTGGTCGCCGTTTTCGGCCCCGGGGGGGCCCTCGCTGGGCCCCGGGGCCGTCAAAAACCGGTTCGGGACGAAAAGCCGGTCCTGGGGAAAGGGTCGGGACTTCCATGTCCAGAAAAAATCAGGACGCCGCACGTCTGGGGAGAGGCCTTTAAGGCGAGGCCCGAGCCGATGGGGTCGGAGGATCACGCTGCAGCGACGAGGCGCCGCTGAGGCATCGGCGATGTCGGCGGGGCGACGCCGGCGCGGAGCAGATCAGGCTCCACTTCGAGCCGCATCGGCGATGCACCGGCGACGCGGCGCTACCCTTTGACCCCAGCTGCTCCGACCCCATCTGGGAGGTCTGGAACCGCGCGCCCGGACAGCAGCAGCCTGGACAAGGCGTCCGCCATGGGGACCGCGCTGACGGAGTCGATGCCCAGGGAGGCCATCTCGACGTCCTCGTCGTCCGCGGGCGGCGCCGCTCCCGTCACCGCGGACGCGATGGCCGCGACGGCGTGTCGCAGGGACGACGCGGCTGCCTCGCCCTGCGCGCTGGAGCCTGCCCAGTCCAGGGAGCTCAGTCGTCGGCACAGCTCTATCGTGGCCCCGTCGCAGGGCTCCTCGACGCCCTCCCCGCCCTCGGTAGACCAGGCGTCGGGCTGCACCTCCAGAAGGGCCGTCCTGTCCACCTTCCCGCTGGGCAGCAGCGGGAAGCTCTCCAGGGCCACGATGTGCCTGGGCACCATGTAGCTGGGCAGCCGGGCCGCGAGCTGCGACAGGAGCGCGCGGCGCCACTCGGGCGCCCGCCCCGCGCCCGGACCCACCAGCACGTGCGCCGCCAGCGCCGGCTCCTCCCCGCTGCGCGCCCCGCCCGCCTCGCCTGGGCCGCCCAGCACGGAGACCACGGCGGCGCGGACGCCGGGGCTCTGCTCGAGCAGGGACTCCACCTCCCCGAGCTCGACCCGGAAGCCGCGGATCTTGACCTGGTGGTCGAGGCGGCCCAGGAACGCGAGCTCGAGCCCGTCGGCGGGCAGGCGCACCAGGTCCCCTGTGTGGTAGTACACCCCCGCCGGCTCCCCGGCGCGCCCGGGCCGCGGGACGAAGCGCGCGGCGGTGAGCTCGGGCCGGTTGCGGTAGCCGCGGGCCACGCCCACGCCCCCGATCAGCAGCTCGCCGCAGGCGCCGCCGTGGGCGGCCGAGGCCGGCGGCGGCGCCTCCTCGCCGTCGGCCGGCCGCGGCGGCGCGATCAGCAGCGTGGTGCCGCTGATGGGCCCGCCGATGGGGACCACGGCGGGCAGCGGCGAAGGGGCGCCCTGAAGGCACGGCGCGGGCAGCCGGTGCGTGGAGGACCAGATCGTGGTCTCCGTGGGGCCATAGGCGTTCCTGGAAGAAGAAAACACGGCGGCATAAACATAAGCTGTTGGCGCTCCGCGCGGATTTCTTGGATCTGCGCTCGCCCCCCCCCCCAGCGGCGCCTCCGGCGCCGCCCCTGGCACTGGCACGCTCCGCGCGCCAAGGAAGGGGGCCAGCGCGGATTTCTGACATCCGCGCAGCGGATCCAAGAGATCCGCGCGGAGCGCCAACAGTTCATGCTTATGCCGTTTTTGTTCACCCTCGACTTCCACACGCCGCCGCCACAGAGGGCCGACAGCTGCTGAGCGAGACCCCCGGGGAGCGCCTCGCCGCCGCTGATGGCCGCGGTCCTTGGGCCGCCACGCCAGCCCGCGTGCAGCAGGCTGCGGAACGTGGTCGGGGTCGCCTGGAAGTAGCGCGGCCGCACGCGCGCCAGGAGCTCCGCCAGCGCGGGGCCGCTGCGGGCCGTGGCCGCGGAGGCGAGGCAGAGGCGGAAGCCGAAGCACAGCGGCCAGAAGATCTCCAGGGCAGAGATGTCGAGGCCGGGCGAAGAGACAGCGCCACAGAGGCAAGCCTTTTGGCGCCCCGCGCGGATGTCCCTTGGCTCTGCGCGGGACCCCCCCCCCAGTCTCCTCTCTGGCGCGCGGAGCGCGCCGCGGGCGGTGCCGGCAGCGCCGCCGCGGGGCGGGGGGGGGGAGGGCGAGCGCGGATCCAGGAGATCCGCGCGGAGCGCCAAACGTTTCTGTTCGTGGCGCTTTCCCTCCGCCGAGAAGCAGAAGGTGGTCACCGACAGCAGCACCTCGCCGCCCGCCCCGGGGCCCGCCTGCGGCCCCGCCGGGCGCAGCATGTCGTTGAAGGCGTGCAGGACGTTGCGCACGCCCCTGCGGCGGACCACCACGCCCTTGGGCACCCCCGTGCTGCCCGAGGTGTAGACGATCAGAGGAGAGGACGGACCACCACCAGCGAGAGCCCATCTCGGTGGTGGGAGGGGGCCCGATCCCCGGGCGGTGGCGCGCCCGAGCGCCGCCCAGTGCCGCACGGCGCCCTCGGGCGTGCCACCGCCGTGGGGTGGGTCCGAGTTGGATGTGGGCCCCGAGAGAATCGGTCAGGAGGGGGGGAGGTGATGCCGAGTCCGCTCAAAGCCTGTCCCCGGACCCCTCCCTGCAGGGTCCATCTGCAGGCTTCCACCCCGGAGCCACTTTTGACAGTCACGGGGGGCCCGCTGATGGCCCCCAGAGGCAGAAGACAACAACCAGGCACAAGAGACACAGACTCTCGAAAACCTGCTCCCCCCCCCCCCCCCCCTACTGCTCGCCGGAACCAGGGCTGGGCCGCCCCAGACCCCCGACCGGCTCGGAGGCCCGTCCCTGACTCGCGGTGATCCTCGGAACGCGTGTTACCAAAGGGGCCCTGGGACACACAAATAAATACACACAAACAAAAGGATCCCCAATCTTTTCCAATGTTTCCTGGGTTTTTGTCTTCCCCCCCACTTCCCATATTTTCCCATATTTTCTAGGAATCGACGATTAATTGTGTCTGTGTGTTTTTCCCCTCCTGAGTTACCACCAACGCGTGCTTGTCCACGGAGGCCCTGCAATGCTTAAGCCGGCGGCTCGGCGAGGGCCGACGCAGACTGCACGCTGCCCGCGGAGCCGAATGGGGTATAGACACACGCTCGTCGGCGGCGAGCCTCTGGGGGCGAAGTGAGCAGGGGGCAGGCCTTCGCAGAAGGCTCGTGAGTCCCCCTGCCTTCCGAGAGAAGTTGTCTGAGCCTTCCCCGACGACGCAGAGAACCTCTCGGCAGGCGCGAGGGCTTCTGGGAAGTCCCGCCGCCTCCTGAGAGGGCCTCTCCTCCCTCTGACTTCACCCCCCTCGCTCGCCGCCGAGCTTGGGCTGACACACATCCTGAGGATTGGCCGCAGACCCCCGACGTTGTGATATTTTCACAACGTCGCCCCTTCAGGACTCGACCCCTTCCCTGGGACTGGTTTTTCGTCCTGAGTCGTTTTTCGACGGTCCCGAGGCCTGGTGAGGGCCCCCCGAGGCCGAACATAGCGAAAACCTCCCGTCGTGATTTTTCGCAGCGCGAGGAGGTCAGGGACTCGAGCCTCTCCTCTGAGATGACGTAGGCCAGCAGCCCAGGGCCGCCTCCGCCGGCGGCGCCGCCGGCGGCCGCCGGCGCCGCGGGGCCCTCGGCCAGCTCGCCGAGCGGCAGCGCCAGCCGCACGCAGGCGCTCTCGGCCAGGTGCCCGCGCCAGCCAGCGCCGGGCCCGTCGACAGCGCACACCTGTGCGGTCAGGTCTGGGCCCTACCACCTCCTCCTCCTCCTCCTCCTACCTCCTCCTCCTCCTCCTCCTCCTCCTCCCCTCCTCTCCTCCTCCCCTCCCCCTCCTCTCCTCCTCCCTCCCCCTCCTCCTCCTCCTTCCTCCCCTCCCTCCCTCCTCCTCCTCCTCGCTCCTCCCTCTCCTCTCCTCCTCCTCCTCATCCTCCTCTCTCCTCCTCCCCCCTCCTCCTCCCTCCCTCCTCCTCCTCCTCCTCCTCCTCCCCTCCTCCTCCTCCTCCTCCTCCTCCTCCTCCTCCTCCTCCTCTCCTCCTTCCTCCTCCTCCTCCTCCTCCTCCTCCTCCTCCCTCCTCCTCCTGCTCCTCCTCCTCCTCCTCCTCCTCCTCCTCCTCCTCCCCTCCTGCTCCTCCTCCTTCTCCTCCTCCTCCTTCTCCTCCTGCGTCCTCCTCCTCCTCCTCCTTCTCCTCCTCCTCCGCCTCCTCCTCCATTCCTGCTCCTTCTAAATAACTCCTCCCTGTCGCACCCCGAGGCCAGTTTTTAGGGCGGGCCGGGCGTTTCGCCTGAGACTTCTTCACCAGTTTTGACCCTGAAGCTGATACACTGGCAACAGTTTCACAGATGGAGGGCGGGTAGTTTTCAAAATATGGCTCTCGCCTGAGCGCCGCGCAAATTCGGTAAAAAATGCAAGAGCTTCACGGATTTAGGGCGGGTCGTTTTCCAAATGTGGCTCTCGCCTCAGCGCCGCGCACATTCGTTTTAACAAGTTGCAAGAGCTTCACGGATTGAGGGAGGGTGGCTTTGAAAATGTGGCTCTCGCCATAGCGCCCCGCACATTCGTTGTGAAAACATGCAATAGCTTCACGGATTGAGGGCGGGTGGTTTTCAAAATATGGCTCTCGCCGTAGCGCCGCGCACATTCGCTTCAAACAGTTGCAAGAGTTTCACGGATTGAGGGCGTGTGGTTTTGAACATGTGGCTCTCACATCAGCGCCGCGCACATTCGTGTTGAACAATTACAAGAGTTTCACGGATTCAGGGCGGTTCCTTTTCAAGATGTGGTTCTCGCCGTCGCGCCGCGCACATTCGTTTTGAACATCTGCAAGGAGCTTCACGGATTGAGGGAGGGTGGCTTTGAAAATGTGGCTCTCGCCATAGCGCCCCGCACATTCGTTGTGAAAACATGCAAGAGCTTCACGGATTGAGGGCGGGTGGTTTTCAAAATGTGGCTCTCGCCTCAGCGCCGCGCGCATTCTTGATATAAAACTGCAAGAGTTTCACGGGTTCCCATGACCGACGTACCAGAAATTGTGTTTCAGAAGGATTCACGATTTTGAGGGCGCAGCAGTTACGATGATTAGCGGAGTTGAGGTCCCAGGAATGGCGTTCTAGCACGATTAAGGATCTTCAAGACGCAACAGTCAGGTTCATCCGTGGCGTTGGAATACCGAGAACAATGTTTTGGCATGCTTAAGGGTTATTCAAATAGTTGTCTTCCAACGAGGCGGGTCCTTCTGTGGAAGTGCACCGTTGTAGGGGCATATGAAAGGGGAGCTTGGGGGGAAAGTTTATTCCAACATCGTTGGTGACTCTTGGGTTTACATTGGTCCTCCTCCTCCTCCTCGTCCTCCTCCTCCCTCCGCCGCCCGCCCCATGTCCCGAGCCTGTGGCAGGGTCATCAGCTCGCCGTAGTCGTCGTGGTCGGCGTGGTCGCGTTGTGGTCGTCGTGGTGGTGGTGGTCATCGTCGTCGTCAGTCGCTGTCGTTGTCGCTCGTCGCCGTGGTCGGCGTCGTCGTCGCTCAGTCGTTGTCGGCGTGGTCATCGTCGTGGTCGTGGTGGTCGTCGTCGTCGTCGTCCTTGTGGGTCGGCGGTGCCAACCGGAAGGCACTCACAACCAAACGCAAGTTTTTATCCAAGCCCCTGGCCCCCGCATTTCAATGTGGACGGGTGCGCGCAGATTGGCCCGCGTGGGCAGCAGCAGCAAAACTGCAGTCGCCAGTGTCGGCGTCAACAGTGAAAGTTGGGGTCCGGGGGCGTCGCCACGTCGTTGGAAAAACTTGAGTTTGATTCCGCGGAGGGATGTGCCCGCGGCCAGCGCATGGTGTGCATGTGAACCCTACGCGTGAACCCTACCCCACCAGCGCACGCCTGAGCGACCACGTCTAAACCCTACATACTTGTGTACCCAACCACCTGTGAGCCCTACCAAACTACGTGTGAACCCTGCCCAACCACGCGTGAGCAAACTGGAGCGACGAAATGCAAGGGGCCTTGCGCGAGATGACATGGCGACCTCACGCGGTGGCTTACGCGGGCCGCCAGCGGGGCACGCCACATTGGGAACGAGGCCGCTTACGCGCGACCCTACGCGGGCAGCTTATGCACCAACGTCGGTGAAGACGATCCTGCGTTCGGTAATTCGCCGGCCCAACGGGCAGAGGCGTGCTAAGATTTCCGGTAACAGGTTAACAATAGCAATATTTCTAGTTCGCGCGCGCGCGGCGGCCCCCGGGGGACCCCTGGACGAAGAATACCCAGGCCGATGCCCGGCCAACTCCCCCATGGGGCGCTCCAGGAGGGCGCCAAGAGGGCGCCGGGACGCCCCGTACACGGGCCAAGAGGCCCCGAGTCGCCGAAAGATCGTTCCACGACGCTCAAGATGGTCTCCAGATGGCCCCAGAGTTAGCGAGAAAGCCCCAAGAGAGCCTCACGAGACTCTCCAAGAGGGCCCCAGCAAGCAAAAATCGTCCTAACCCCTCCAGAAACATACATTTTTCGCATGCGCGACGTTTCTCTCCTTTTCGGCTTTCCAACGCTCCAAGACGGCCCAAGAGATCCCCAAGTCCGCCCCAAGACGGCCCAAGAAGCCTCCAAGATGGCCCCAAGACGGCCCAAGATGACGCCACGACAGCCCAAGAGGCGCCCAAGATGGCCCAAGAGGGCCCCAAAACGGCTCCAAGAGGGACCCAAGACGGAGACCATGAACCGAAAAGCCTAGCCTTGAGCCCAAGAGGCCCCCAGGAGGCCCCAGGAGGCCCCCGAGAGGCCCCCAAGAGGCCCAAAGGGGCACCCCAAGAAGCCCCAAGAGGCCCCCAAGAGGCCCCCCAGAGGCCCCAACACGGCCCCCACGAGGCCTCAACACGGCCTCCCCGAGGCCCCCAAGAGGCCCCAACACGGCCCCCAAGCGGCGAGGCAACATGGGCCGGCGGAATGAGCGAAGCGATTACATAAACGTGGGGGTCAACGTCAACTTGTGCCCACCGCCAGCGAGAACTCATCCAGGGGGGGGGGGGGGCAGGGCTCGACCTCTGTGCGGTGGCGCGTCCGAGCGTCACCCAGCACCAGACGACGCTCAGACAAGACTCGCTTCTAATTTCGCGCAGTGTTGCACTCGAGGGGCAAACCAGCTGCACGAGCATGAACTTTTGGAGTTCGGCGCGGATCTCTTCGATCGGCGCTGGACGCCTCTCCCTGGCGCGCGGAGCGCGCCAGGAGGAGGAGGAGGAGGAGGAGGAGGAGGAGGAGGAGGAGGAGGAGGAGGAGGTGGTGCGCTGGAGGCGCCGCCA